TTTTTTTTTTTTTTTTGAATTGTTTGCTTCCCCTGCTAATGGAACAGTTTAGGTTGTGTAATGAGACCTGAGAGAGTGGTAGTTAGCCGGGTAACGAAATGTTTGCAAGAAAACAGCCAAGCTCAGAGAACCCCAAGGACTCCACAGTTCAACCCTGAGCTACATATATTTTCTTCTAATGTTATTTTCTGTCTTCAACAGTATTCAGACACAAGGTCATCCAGTTAAGTTGACTGATAAAACATTTACAGGTGGTCCTTGTTTAATGACCACTCATTCAGTGACTGTTTGAACTTGCAACGGCACTGAAGAAGTGGTAATTATGACCAGTCCTTGAAGTTCTGGCCATTGCAGCGCTCCTGCAGTCACACTTGTGAACTGGGCACTCAGCAACTGGCCTGCATTTCTGACCGTCGCAGTGTTCTGTGGTCACGTGATTGCAATTTGCGACCTTCCCTGCCAGCTTCCCACAAGCAATTTATCTAGATGAGCCTTTGTCCTGTTGTAGCAAGACCCTTCTTATGGCCTTATTTAAATCATAAAATCATAGTGTTGGAAGTAACTACTGAGATCATCAAGTCCAACCCTTGCTTAGGGCAGGAATCTTCATCAACATCCTGTAGATACCTTGTTTTATGCAGGCTTAATTTTGAGGCCTTCTCATTCACACCTAGAAAGAGAAGCTGTTTGGCAAGTACTCTTTGTTTTTTGATAGAGTATTTATATAAGTGTGCTATATACCTCATTTAGCTTCTAGGCTTTGTCACTTCGAAAAAAACAGAAAAAAAATCAAGGAAAAACTAAAAAAATAATGGAACTAAAAGATTTTTAGCCACTAATCTCACTATAGCCTGGCCTTGGCTACCCATCACCATGGAAATAATCTTCCAGTTATGCAGACAACCTTTTTGTGGCCAGGGCCACACACTGAATTAAAAAAAAGAAACAGGGTACAGGGTACAGGGCATAGAGCTTGTGATATAAGATGGGAGCATTTTAAAAATGGTTTCTATGAGAGTTTCATGGTTTAGGGGTAAACAAATAAACTAATTTTGCACCTTTTGAAGGCTAAAACATGCCACTGAAAATTAGATTATGAGGATGATGAGGATGATTTAAAATTGCTATGGCCACCCACTCTGGAAGACTCTGGGCAGTTTACAATACTGGGCTATACAATTAAAACAATTAAAAACATAATTACAAAACATAGCAGCCCAGTCTAAAAAGCAATCAGAACAATCAGGAAATATGACAGGGGCTCCACAAACACCTTAACTCCAGGCTTGGGAACAGAGCCAGGCCTTAAGGGCCTTCTGGAACCCCCGGAGAGAGGGCACTATACATATGGGGCAGGGGGAAGATGCTGTTCCAGAGGGCAGGGTCTGCAACAGGGAAGGCATACTTCCTTGGTCCCATAAGACGACAAGAGTTAATTGTGGGGACCTGGAGCACACCTACTCTGCCTGAATATAGCAGGTGGGCAGAAACAATTGGTGAGAGGCAGTCCCTCAGATAACCTGGCCCTGTGCCATGAAGGACTTGATAGGTAATAAGCAGCATCTGGAATTGCACTTGGAAACTGACTGGCAACCAATGCAGCTCACATAGTAGCGATGACACCTGGGCATAACAAGAAGTGCCCATTACTGCTCTGGTGCTTCTTAATGCCCTCAGAAAGAATAGAAGATTTGGAACAGCTGCCCCAATGCTGTACCAACTGTATAACAAATCCAGGGAACTGCAACCTGCATAATGCCTGTACAAGTTACCCTATTCCTTTCTCTAGAGAGAATGGGCCTTCTCTGGAGCATGCTGCAATCTCTTTTCTTCTGGAATCATGAACAACAGATATAACCAAATACCACTTTTGCAGAAACAATGCCCCCCGTGCTGCTGATGAAATTGAAACCTTAGAACATGCTTTTCTAAGGTGTAGATTTTACAAGGAATCACTTTCCCAACTAATCAAACCCTTGCCCTGAAATTATTTATACAATTGCTAAATTCAGTGCCCAAATCATCATTTTCCACTACATTCAGATCCAACAAGTAGGTTATTCACTCAATTATGAAATTTTTAGATAGCAAAGAGAGAACATGAGCTGGGTTCTTCTCCAGTTCCCAGTTATTCTGTTGTATTTTTCTATGGAACTGTAATAATAACATATGCATATAACTCACAAATCATAATTTCTAACCTGCTTGTAGAACTGTCCTCAAAGGGGTACAGAATTTCACCATTATTACAGATCTCACAGATGAATCCCTTTTGACTACAAAGGCTGCAGCTGTATACATGGGAGGTAGCAAACTTTATTACTTTCCCAAGGAAAGGGGCCAGCTTCCCTTCGATAACCTGAAAGATACCAGGAAAAAAATAATAAAATCATGATGAACCATAGAAAGGAATGACAAGATATCAGTTTCATTTATAATGAGCCATTCTCACTGAAGTCCATTCCCATGCATTTCTACTGCTGCAGTTGGTACAATGGATTAGAATACTTAAGCCAGAGACTGCAAAGGAAAATGAAGATAAACAATACTGGAAATGAGATCCAGTAAAGGTGGATCATTTTCAGGCCCACGTTTTCAAGGTGTGGGAAGCACTGAGGCTGGCAAAGACAGGAAAAGCCTTGTCTCTCAGTTGATACATATACATATTATTCTACAAAAGCCGGATGATACATAACATTTTTTCCTAGTGTGATGTTAACTGGACAGCGTTCTAAGTCTCACTGTGTCAACATTTTTAGTATTATTTCTTGTACTGCATTATATTAGTATATAAAAGTAGACACCACCTGCCCACCAAACTTAATTCAAAATAATTGGTCTTTTCTTTCTGAAAGACGACAGGTTGCAGACAGAATTTTACTATAAAACAAGATGCTTCATTAAAAAAAAAAATTAAGATCCATGAAATGCACCCAGTATGTGGAAAGCCATATTTAATGGCTGCTTAAATATGAGCGATTTACACACCCACCAAATATTTGGCAATAGCACAATTTTTATTTCAAGCAATACACTACCATGACTGATATTTCAAGTGTCCAGTATCCAGAGATAATTTGAAACTTATTTGGCAAATGCATATTCCACTGGAATGTTTACCTCAGTTATACTTAATACACTTCTGTACGCGACAGTTGAAGCCACTGCACAGATGTGGAATGGAAAAATGTAGGCAGCACAGGAAGTCCTCGGAACTGCTTGGGTTACTGTCCCCAAATGGGAATGCTAAAATATGTGCTTTCTTGCAGCCACAGGAAGCAGAAAAGTTATTGCTAGCTGCGCAGTTTGACATCTGTTTGGGATGTAGGAAAATGGCAATGTTATAGGAAGATTCCCTCATGCTGCACATTAAACAATTCATAAAGGCCACCATCTAAAATTAAGGTTCAAGGCCAGTGCTTTGCTACTGTTATAACAGTGTCCTAGACAGTAACATAAGCAGTTTTTGAGGAAAAAAAGGGCTCTTCTTTATTTAATTCTACTCATGAGGGTCAAAAGTCTAAATAAGATCTGGGGAAGTGATATTCAAGAAAAATAAGGAAACAGAACAAACAGTGGGCTATTATTAATGATGGGACATACATGTGTTGATTGACATAAACAAAGATGATTGGAATGAAACCTGAACGATAAACCAAGAATAAATACTGTACAGTATGTCCCGCACTTAGTAATTCAGGCTTTATTTTACTATATCACAGCTTCAGGCAATTTTTTAATGGTCAGAACTATAATTTTATAAAAAAAAATGAACAGCCCTTTGAGTGCTATAGGAGATAGCAGCGTTACAGTAATGTCACTGGAGAGGATAGTGACAAAATGTTTGGCTTGGGAATCTTGTTGGGATGGAGATGGGGCTAAATAAAATACGTGCCGTAAGCATAACACATCCACTTGCTTCTAATTGGGTTAAAAAGACAATAAACACACACAGCACTGAATTTTAGCAGCACAATGGGGAGAATCTTAAAAAAGTGGTAAAGAGGCTCCATGTTGTCCATATATTAACTAGGCAGCCTATAGGTGATCATAATAATACTGTAAATTATTAATTATACACACCAGATCACCATAAACATTTCTTTTTGCATGAATGAAATATGGAAGGCTTTGCAAGGCTATGTTAGTTTGATGAGGAAGATTAGTAGCAGGAGGAAACTCGAACAGCAGTAGAGGTAACATGGGTACTTCTATGAGAGAGGGCTGGATTGTCAAGGACTATAGGAAAAGTCTGACCAATGGAGAAAGTGCCTATTTTGCAGATTACAAAAAGACTATTGCCACTAGTAAGGGCTGCTTATGGGTACCAAAGATAAATGGAGAACATGCATCTTGGCCTTACAGCTATGAGGTAAGCACAGCGCACAAACCATACCATTGACTGCATCTTTTTTACAAAGTTGCATAATAGATATTCCACTCCAAATCTAAAAAGTAGCTGGAAGATACCAAACAAAAACAAAAACGCTGAAGGAATGTACTTACACAAACAGGTTTAACAGAAGTTTAACAATCAGAAAAAAATAATTTGGGGGTGTACAGCACCGATGGCATCTTCCTATAGTATTACAGTTTCCCTAACCCCAACAAGATGTTTTGAGCCTATTTTACATGGGAAGGAGAATGGAAATATATGGAACAAATACATTCCTGCTTTATTAGAGTTTCAAATAAATTTTTGGTTTTTAGAGGCTGTAATAACCGGGGATTTCATGCTTGTATTTCTCATGTTATATTCTGCATATATTTTAATTAAATGTCAGTATACACCCTTTCCCAATTCTGAACTATTTAGTTGCTCCATACTCCCTTCTAACTGTTGCCTTCTGGTCATCATACAATTTCACCTCAAACATAGGCAGATGAGGAGGCCCAACAATATTTTTTTAAGGACTATCCACAATTTGTTCTGGTTTACAGAGTCAGAAAGTCTTAGTATGATCAATAAAGCAAAAAGCAACATCTTCTTGAATATCCCTTGTCTTTCCCATTATCCATGGATGTTAGCAATGGGATCTTGGGTGTCCCTGGCTCTTCAGAATCCAGCATGTATATTTGCTAGTTGCATTCCATGAACTGTTGAAGATTGCAAAATCTTGAGCATTATTTTATTAGCGCGTGAGATAAGCCCAGTTGTTCCATAGTCTGAGCATTTGTAGCTACGGCCTTTTTTAGTATTAGAATATAAATAAATCTTTTACAGTCCTTTGGTCGCTGTGTTTTTCATAGATGCTTACAAGCCCCAAGTAACACTTTAACTGCATTATATTGTAAGATTTCAAACAGCTCTGCTGGTATTTCTTGCAGCTTGTATTAGCAATATTTTCTAGGGCCCTCTTAACTTCACTTTTCAGAATATTCTAGTTCAGTGATCCAATCTTAACCCATATCATCAATGTAGAGATACTTTTGTCCAATTTCTTAGTAATTCATGTCATCACTTCTTTATGTCTTCTTTCTCCAATAGATCTTTGATTTCTTTATCTTTAAGTGTGTCCAAGCTCCCTTGATTTCTATAATTTTATTAAATAAATACCTTGTTTCCTTGTTGCCCTTAATTTCTTTGTCTTGCTTATTCAGATATAACTCATTTTCTCTTTTTGCTCTTTGGATATCTTCCAGCCTGGGGGGCTCATCTTCCATTATCATGTTCACATCGTCCTGATTTAAACATCTGTTGGTTTTCTTGGCAGAATACTGGAATTAGTTGCCATTTTGTTCTCCAGGATACATTTCAGATGACCCTTCTGGGAGTGTATACTCCATCAGAAGAGCTCTTAACAACACTGGGATGTACAAACCCTTTCACCACTACAAAGTAACAATCCATAAAAGGGCATGAATATGAAACACTCTGCAAAGCCAGGCTCATTATTTTAAGAATAATATAGGCAACCTAAAATTATATGACATCTATATACAAGAAAATCTTCATGCTGTTTGATCAGGCACTATATTGTTCAGAAGTTATTCTGGAGCACATTAATCACCCCAATGATATGGAAAGCTTTCCCACAAGGCACCACAGATACATGTGGATCTGAAGAGTCATATTTAGAGAAGGTGAATGCTTCTTTATGCCACTGACAAACTTCTACAGCAATCAGTTTTCAAACTGCAACCCACTGTATGGACTCACCACCACAGAAGCACTTCCATTGTTCTTTATATGGATATAAACATGTTTGGCACTCTCTAAAGTAGGGGAGCATAAAGCTAAGAGATAACTAAGGTGTGCAATGTTACTCTGTAGTTTCACAGCAGGGCTTTAACCCAAATTACCCTGTCTATTGCATGGATGCATTACAGAAAATACTTTTAAAATGTATTTTAAAATGTAGTCAAATCAAGGCCAGTCATCTACAAGTTAAACATGTAGACAGAAATAAATAGAATAAGGTATCTTTAGCTGATAGAATACAAAGTTCCATAAATCTGTGGTTCAACAGATCAACACTGATTTCCAAGCTAATATACGTATGGTAGATATCTCCAAGACAAGGCAAATGTAGTCCAACGGATAGAAGAAAAGCTTATAGTTACTCTCTTTAAATTTAACGAGGGTGCACTGTATTGTGTTATGCTGAAGACAGGGTTAATAGCTGAAGTTACAGTGGTGACAAAACTTCCATACCAAGTTTGATTGCCATTGGGAAGACAGTGTTAAGGCTACATTATCTTATGACCCTACCATTGTAAGTCAGTGTGTTAATCATTATCATTATACAGACGATAAGGCTCCTTGTAAGTCAACACAAAGGGTGAAAATTAAATGGTCTGTTCATGATCTGAATTATTTCCATGAAGATAACATTTATTAAAAACAAGGACTTTTAGAAATACCAGTTCACCTGTTAACTCTGATTTACATCATGGGAGTGTCAGATTTGGAAACATACATGGGAATAGCCTTATGCGAGTATTTACCTGAACAGATAAAAAGCTACAGCTATGGCTGTGTTCATGTAACATGGTTAATCTGATTGCTGAAATGACTGTTTTTCTGCATTTGTACAATACTTAAACTAACCAAACAGGCTGGGATTGAACTACACGCTGAGCCACCAAATAAACAAACAAATCTAACTGCTCGGCATGTTATACAAATGCAGCTGCTAGATCTTTAACTGAGATGGTTAAATATGTTTTACAAGCACAATCTGTATGTGAACTGGCATGCATATAAATTCCAGCCCCATACAGGCTTTTCTAAAGACATTTGCACATTTAGAAGTGAGATCTGAAAGATCCTTCATTACTCAGGATCTTTTCTATTTCCCTTACATATAGTGCAGGAAGGTAGAGAGAATCTTAAGCAATTTTTTGTGTTTGGAAGAC